CGCACACTCGGGACCAAACGAGGAATGGAATTTAATGTTTCTAATTTTGCGCGATCATCCCCTAATTTAATCAGAACGCCCGAACCTCTCGCCCGTCCCCCTCACCCCTCCCACCCGCCCACAGCGTTCATCTCCCGCCGGTTAGCGTCGTTATTCCCCGCTTGTGGAATAAACGGAGCAGCCGATTTCGCTAACTCGGTTATAAACTCGGCGCCGCATTACGCTCGGAGGATGCATGCCCGGATCCATCCTTCTCCATCCTCCTCTTTCGCCTCGCAACCCCGGCGGATTATGATGGCGGCTATGAGCAGGTATGCCATTAACGCGGAAATTATATTATAATTAGAAGCACGGAGAGGCGCGCAAAGGACGTAGCTTGGGGAATTTCCGATTTTGCATGCAACGAATTCACGCTTAAGAGAAAGTCGGGAAGAAATAGTAGAATTGAAAAGTGTTAGAATTACTTTCTCTATGTGCGAATCAATTTTATCAATAAAAAGTTTTATAATCTTGAGCAAAAATTATTTGCGCAAATTAACGTTACGAGTTGTCGCAATCAGTCAAAATCAACTTTCTCGATATTTCTTTTCGAAAGTTATTCTTAGCAGTGGAAAAATAAAGCTCACATCACACGGCGATTCTTTTTTCGAGGCACCGAAAAGAAATCTTTTAGAAGCATCATTGCGAAACGTAAGAAAGGAGAGTCAAATATACCGAGAACGTAAATTATACAGAGATTGATTAAATTTTATGATACGTTCAACATGAAAAGTCTGAGTGAAATATAAAATAACGATCATTAGATGGCTCGGCGTACATCGTGGAAGGCGATGACTTTTGTTCTCCCAATTAGCGCGATCCCACGAAACGCGTGAGCGGCAATCACCATGCACGCGTCACGGATCACGAGTATACATAGTGTGTGGGATAGGGATGGGACCAAACCCTTCGCAAGCAATTTCATGCGGCTGTGAATCAACATATGGCAATAGATTCGCACCCGTATAAACACTTGTCAGAAAGCAAATTAATTATGTTGTGATACAAAGACTCAAAAGTCACTTGAAAAAATTTCATTTAAAGTTTTCGAATTCTCCTATTATATAATTATCAGAAATTATACAGAAATCTTTTTTTTTAATAATAATAAATTTCCAATAATACTTTTTACATTTTTGCGCAAGTTTTTCGCGAATTTCTAATTTACATGCAATTGATATTTAAATTGTAGAGTTTTATCGCGATTTATTAAAATGACACTCAAATACTTTACTGGAATTATTATTTTTACGTATTCGAACTGACTCGATCCCATCGCTCGGAACAAAAAATGGTAATAGAGACGGCAAGCCTTTCATCTTGTCGCTGAACATCAGTGCGATAAGTGCGACGGATTGGACAATACACACGGTGGCAAGCATGCTAAGACTGTCCTAAAAATGTCGACGCAGCCATCATGGGTACAGCAACACATCTTTATAGGATTCACACACAAAATTTACACTCCGGTGACGGAATGATCCTCGCGCGGACCCGTGAAACCGTGCGAGCGACGGGCTCAAGCCTCTCGAGTGGCTGCGAGTCGTAAAAGACGAAGATAAGGAGACAACAAGGCGTCTTCTCTCAACGAGATTACTTTTAAGTATATCCACATGACGACCATATTTACTAATTTTTTTTTATCGACCCTTCGATAAGCTACAGGCTTCAGATCGCGAGAAACATTCGTCGCTCTGCCTTCCCCTCTTCTCCTCTTTTTCCTTCTCAAAGAATGTTTAATTTGATTATCGTTCAAATATTATTTTGATGTTATTATTGATTCTGATGACAAAAACTTGTGGCAATAATATGAATAATCGAGCTGAAAGTGAAACAGTCGGTTTCACAGGGCGCCAAAGAGTCATGTTACGGTTCCAATGCCGTGAACGCCAATAATGCCTCTAATTTGAGAATTTATCGTTAAAAGGTCCTATATAACTGCTGACGACCATTCGCTATTTACACAGCTCCCCCATTGCAGCCGGTGCCATCAGAGTGTCTATAAACTCGCTGTTTTGTTCGTCCTATAAACCCTTTCCACTGCGCGCGCGCGATACGCTAATTTCCAGATATTCGCCGATAATTGGCTTAATCGCACGCCACGTCGCGCTTGTCAAATTAATCGCACGTCGCCACGAGGTATCCTGTATTGCGGCTGCATCCGCTCTCTCTCTCGACTAGGAACGTAAATTCGCGAGCTCGTGAGAGCAATTGACAACAAATGATTCGCAAATGGATTGCCGACGAGGCCGATTAAATGCTCTTGTCGTTTTATTTTTTGTAAACATTTATAACTAAATGCCGTATCAATTCCACACATTTTACAATTCCATGTATTTTACACAATAAAATAGTTAACAATTTTTATTTTTATCTCAAATTTTCTAGAAGAAAATGCGACGAGCAAAAATAAATGGTAAAATTGAAGTGTGAAAACAGTTTTGTTATTCACTATTGTTCACTATTTAAGTCAAGAATATACTTTCTTTGGTCTTTGTGTGGTCTTCATCTTGATTTGACATGGATATTGAATTATTATCCATGTAGTAATACAAAACAATTAAACAAAAGAGTGCTATAAAAATATTACTGCTGTATTGTTACTTTGCACAATAAAGGGTCTTTTAAATGGGTCTTTTTAATGGGTCTTTTTAATTCAACTGACCTTCGTGATTTTAATTCAACTGATCTAAGTGACCTTCGTAAATTTTATGAGTTTTACTAGTAATCATGCTTATATATCAATAATATCAATAGCAGCAATAATTTGACAGCAATACAAATAATTTGCTGAAGGCTCAATTTTATTGCCTATTTTTAGTGCCATAAATTTGATGATTAACCTTGAGTGAAAAAAACAGTTTATACGGGGCTCGTTTATATTGTATTCTTTTTCCTTCTATGGAGTTATAAAAGGAAACGTTCTCACGATTATAGGTACAAAATGTCGAATAACCTCTTCACATAGTGAGCCATATTACTGCACTAATGAATATCCCTGTGTAGCGATTTGTGGATTGCACGCGTCTATCGATAGATCGACTATAGCTTTCGCATAAAGTAACGTTACATCGCGCATGCAAGTAAATTAGTCGCTTAATCAAACCGTTTAATCAGCGGCATGATCGCGACCACATCTGGCCGGGCTGTTCTCGCCAATTACCTCTCATCCCCGTCACCCCCGCTCGTCTACGCGCACAATCGCATACACTGACGTAACTAAAGAGGGGAAGGGAGCGTAGAATATTCCTAGTGCGAGAGCGGAGGGAGAGGACGGAAGACGAAATTGACCAAATCTGTCAATATTGATACGCATCAGTATCGCACTGATCAAATAAATGCGGCAAGAACTTGTGTAAAACTTTCTTTTTAAAACTGCAAGAATTTTACGAATCGTTTTACGATGTACGAAAGTATAAAAAATTAACACAAGTAAATATAGAAAAAATATAGTGTAAATATAAGCACAATAAAAATTGATAATATAATTTTTTTAAGATTTTGCCCGATGAAATGTATTTTTATTGTGTTAAAATTGCGCTTGTACGAGACAAGCGACGAAAGAATCGTTTTCTTTTATTATAAAAGTCAGCTAATATTTTTCATTGGAGGAAAAATTTTCTCTGCTGAAAAAAGATGTCCTTAAATGCATCATACTTTATGATAGTAGGCCTTTTTACAGAATAACTGTAAAAAAGGTCATCGATATTACGGTAAAAAGCTGTAATGTACTGACTGTATGCAACTATAGAAAGTATGTAGCTGTAAGGAGATACGATATTGTTCAAGGTGTCACGCTTAAAAAAAGAGCAGGCAACGGTGAAATTCATTAGTCTTTGTACAAAATAGTTTATTTGCTTCTTTTTAGAAGAATTAAGTTGAATAGTTGGTTCAAATTATGGGTCGTTTATCCATAATTCAGTACCTTTTCTTCCCTAACCAAATATAAGCTTCTCGAAAATTTAGAAATAAAATTTTTCGAAATGCCGTAAAAATTTATTATATTAAAATTTGCTAAAAACAATATTTGAAAAATTAATATTGCCACTTAATTATATTACACGATAAATAATTTTACAGCATTAAAAATAAAGAAGAAACATTTATAGATATATTGCAATCTCATATAATATTAATAATTTAACAAATTAGTCATCCAAAATTGTGCAATTCATTATCATATTATTGTTTAATAAATAACCAAATTTGTTAAAAGCAACTAATATTTATTACATATGATTGCGAAAAATTTTCCTATGTCGTAGAATAGAAAATGTTCCACTTAGGGTTCGCCAAACAGGTAAATCCGTTTCTGCTCTGTTATATATGTGCAACACCAAGGTATCAGTGTGTGCATGCATCGGTGTGTGGCTCCACCCCTCACTGGAAGGGATATGAACTAGCCAAACTTTCGCCAATCAGAAAACGGTTCTGATGCCGATGGAGGTGGAAAACGGACAATAGAAGTGGTACATATCAGCGTTGTCCACGACGCGCCTACTACGCGGACAGAAAACCTTATGAGTGTTTCACACTGTTATAATATGAATATTGTCATTAGCACGGATTTCTATATGATACACTAATATTCTTGCCTCTTGCACATATTTTTATGCATAAAGATCAGAGTGCGTACGTAAAATAAACTAAAAAAATACAGTTTTAACTGATATTTTATCATTTATCAGATAATTTTTTTAGTTTTGAGATTGAAAAAATGCAGAATAAATTTTAACAAAAATTGAAATCTTCTTTGGAACGTTGTTAAAAATCAATTGGAGTTTGATATTGCCAATGATACGCATGTGTTGTGCGCCGAAATAGTGTAAAACAGCCTTCAAGCTCGCAAAGGTAGCGCTGACAGGAAGGAAACGAGGAGTAGTCTAGTGGGGAGGGGAGGAAATGGAGAGGGTAGTAGGGAGATGGTAGTAGTGAGCAAGGTAGTAGTGGAAAGGTACCGGTCTGGTGGACACATTATACAACCTGGCCGCAGTACTTAGTGAGTCAAGTCAGACTGTACTCTGCTTCAAACTACGAACGGTGTAATAAAAAGCTTCTAAGTAGTGCACTCGGAAAAAGAAGGAAAAGATTTTAAAAAGTTGCAAAAAATTGCTCTCCCTATTTCTACCTCTCAAGAGTTCGCATACACCTCTTTGATTAATTGTGTAAGGAAATAGAAAAAATTGTGTCTTTACGATAAGTGCGATAAGTTTCAGTATCAGATATAAATTTCTCAGAGAGAACACAAAGTGAAAAATTTAGCAAAGTGAATATGGTAGAGTGCAATTCTGGACGCTAAAGCAGCACGTGTGTATTATTTTCAATTCTTTAAATAATTTATGATTGTTTATTTGTAATGCATAAAACATAGAAATTTTGCATCTTAAGAATACATAAGAAAATTGGCAAAGATACGTATTCTATTTCCAAGATTTGTCGATTCTTACGATTTTCCATTTTAAAATATGAAAAATAAAAATTAGAACAAAACATGAGAAAAAATTCTTTTTAATTGCATTTTTGTTTATGTATTTTTCATATTAAAAAAATTTCATTTGCTTTATATTTTTGCAAATATACGACAAATATTCTAAGATTTCTGTTTATACCAGTTTCTTGATTTCTTTCGTTATAAGATACAAATGTGAAGCGACGTGCAAAATTTTGTGTAAGATTTTTAAAATTAAAGAAACTGAGAATGTTATTGAAAACATAATAATAATTTATGTATTCGTGTTGTTTTGTTCTGTGTGCAGAAAATACTCGGATATTCACATGTTTCACTATTAATACAATATTAGATTAAAGTTAATATTGTAAAAATATAACAAGAGATAAATATTATAATATTAACAATATTATAATATTAACGTTTCTATAAAATTGCATGTTCTATGCAATTGCTTAATCGGACCATCAATGATATTTCGAAGCTGTGCTGCATAAATTCTCAATTATTTTTTTAATAATAATCTTTTAACTCTGATTTTGTTTCATGTTTTTTAATAATAATTTGCTTTATGTAAAAATTATTGCTTTTTTTATATTCAAGTTTCAAAATCTGTATATAGCTTTAAATAAGCTTTAACGGCTTATGCAATTTAATTTTATTTCTATATTTCGAAATACGCTGGTCACACACATATAATTGTATCTACTTATAATATATGATTATAATACATATATGCGTACTTATTATAATATATGCATTATATAAAATTCAACAAATTTCACATATTCTTTATGTGAACGTAGAAAGCTCGATATAGTTGTACGCATATTAAAGCTTGACATATGTATATTCCGATTCGCATTCCAATTTGAATGTATTACGTATATTACATTCTATTATGTGTGTACTTGTGGCCTTGTATTTCGTTTTCATAAATATTTTCCTACGTAATCCTATATTCTGAAGACTTCAATTTAACATATATAGTTTAATTATTACCAAAAATGTATGTTCGAATATTTTCGAGATGCATCGCTACACTGAGAAAAAAGAATGATTGCAATAACTATTATCTAGTGGCCAACCATATTCTAACTATATAATTGATTGACAGTATTACACGTCTAATGTTATTATTGCTAACATTATAATGATAATTTCTATAAAAATAAGTATTTTGATAATAATTCTAGTCCCGTGCAATTATAATTCCAAATATCACATATTTTTCTTTCAGTGTAGAAGCGACGTATTAAAAAATACACCTCACTATTGTACAATAGCGTTGCAATGGCTTATCCTTATGACGATGAGAGAAGAGATGACAGTCAAGAAGAGGAGATGATAGTCGTGGATTTGGTGCCTCCGCATGTGTTACACGCTAGATATTTTGGTGGGTCGAGCCCACCACGCAGCCCGCTATCTAATATGCCACGATCATCATCTGCCGAGAACGGTGAGTTTCGCAACACATTCGCGACGTGTATTTCCGACGTAAATTCAGACGGTTTAGTGAAAAACAGAGATCGAATTTACGTTTATCTTGTAATAGCTGTAGGAAACGCGGAAGATGTAATGTGTCAAATGTATTATACGGAACTTTTTTACGCAATACGATGGGCAAAATTTTAACCATTAAATTTGCTATCTTTTTTTAAGGATTTAATATCTTATTTTATTCAGTGAATGTTTAAAGCTATATACGAATTTTTTATTACGGCTCTATGTATTCTTTTTTTATTGTCGGGTTATCAACTTTTCGAAATTCGATTTTTGCGAGACAATTCATTCCTTGTGATAATTTCGCACGCTAGCGTAACATAGATTGGAATGTTTATTGATTTATATAGAATCGCCGACTTTGCATCAGCCTACATCGATGTCGCAAAATCCGACGACTTCGCAGCAGAATCCGCCGACTTCGCGTCAAAGTCCATTGATTGCGAATCAGCATCAGCATCAACATCAATCAGAGCATCAACAACAGCAACAATCACAATCGCAACAACCGCACTCAATTCCTCCTCCAGACTCTAACGTCAGAAGATATAGAACCGCCTTTACGAAGGAACAATTGGCTCGATTAGAGATTGAATTTCAGAAAGAAAATTATGTGAGTCGACCGAAGAGGGTAGAATTGGCCAAGCAGCTCAATCTTCCAGAATCTACTATAAAGGTAGGAAGATTTTGAAAAGTAGATAGATTTTGAAAGTAGATAGATTTTGAAAAGTAGATAGATTTTGAAAAGTAGATAGATAGTTTTTCCGTACTGTTTTTTTAATTGTTGACACATTTTTCTAAATATCATTTATATGATTTAGTAAATGATATCTGTACATAATCAGAATTTACAGCTCTTAAACTTTTTAAAAGCTTTGTCGAAGTATCTGAATTTTATACTGTCTCATAAAAATATAATTTAAAAAAAATCAAAGATACGCATAATTCCTCTATTTAGAAAAGATAAAAACTTTTTATTTAAAATTTTTCTTTCGTATGCTGTCGATATGAATATTTCGTAGCTATTCGATGTATATTATGTCTCTTATATATTTCTAAATATAAACATTATACAAAAATTTTACTTTAATATTCTAATAGAAAATAAAAGAAATTAATCAAAGAAAAATTATTTGATTTCGCAAAATTCAGATTATAATAACCTAAGAAGAGTATAAACCGGAATTGTTAAAAATGTTAATTTACTACAAAATATAGTAAATAAACAAAGAGAGAGAATTTCTAAATTAAACAATTTTCTTTAAATACTTGAAAATTTAAAAATGTCTATTAGAAGAATATCAAAATTGATAAAGAATTAATGTTTGAAATTGCTAACGATGATAGACGATAGTTTAATCTTTAAAACTAGAGTCAAATGACCAAATAAAAATGATACAAAATTTAATGAACAATCCTGATTTCTTTTTTAAGACAGACTGTGATCTATGCTAAGTTGGTGAGGAATGAATGAACAGTTATGAATAAATATCGACAAACATGACTTCATCTGTGATCGACGCAATAAGACTACCCATTAGCACTTTAGTTCGAATGTTTGATCGATGCTTCGAGAAATCATTGAGATTCCTTCGACCAATTGATAGTTATTGATAAATATAAAATACTTCCTTTACTTTAAAAAAAAAACGTTTTAAATTTTTACCTAATAAAATAAGAAATTTTTCTAAATTTTGCTGATAGATTATTTTGCCTCATGCATAGAATTTTATTATTCGTTAATTAAGTATGAGAATTTTTCGAGTGTATTGAAATTAATGAACGGTATATATTCTGATATGATTTCTCACGGGACTGGTGCGTCTGTTGAAAGATAGTCCCTAACACCGCGCGTTTAATAGTGGCAATTAGAGACCTTTTTGTTCGCGGGCCGAGAGCTGCCGGTTGTTTCTTGCCGCGGCCAGCTGCGGACATGTTTGATCGGCGATTATAGCCTCGAGAGCGAATCAGCACCGTGATTCTTAGATTTATCCGATAGCCTTTGATCCTTCTTTCGCGTGTGTTCTCGGCAGTGCCGTAACTTCTCGACGTTATTTCTCGAGAACGCGGCGGGTTCAAGAAATTCTTACATAATATACACGTGCGAAGGGGGCTGTATTAACGTGAGTTTAGTCACGGCACTGATCTCGGGCTCGAGGGAGGACCGGTCCGGTTTGGCCAAACGAAAGTGTTAAACAGCTCAATTAGCGGCCGCCTTGCGGCTCACCTTAGACTTTAATGGATCTCTTAATTTCTCGTCTCGCGCCAGCTCACATCGGTAGTCATAAAGCGGTGTGAGCAAGGGAGGAGAGAACCGTCGAGGTGTTAAACGACGGCAAACGTCTCGCACGAATTACCGATATAATCGTTCGCTGCCTCTGAGAATTTCCTATTGTCATTCATATATGTGTATTTGAATACTCACTTAAAAAACCATATATGCATATAAATGAGGTACATATAAAATGACAAATTTTTATTTTACTTTTACATGATATTTCGGATAGAATAAAAATAGAGCAAGTGAAAAGCTATCAAAATAAATTTAAAAAAAAATAAAGTCACCTATTTTTCTACCAGTATTGCGAGAAATTTTCATCGATTATCTAAGGCGCACAAAAATGTTAAAAATACATATTTCTAGGTGAGTATTTGAAGTACACAATGTATGTGAATTCTTGTGCGGGATATTTATCGTCATTCAACAACTCGACGTCTCTCAACACCCGACTTCCCATAAATCAATATACCTCACGAAAATGTAATTTTCAACATGAATTGAAATTTTTGTAAAGAATTATGATTTCTCTTTGTGACAGGTGTGGTTCCAAAACAGACGCATGAAGCTTAAGAGGCATCAGATGTCGTCGTGGCCTTTTGTCATGTACACGGAGTCGACATTGGCCGCGTTATTGGCGGGCTCCGCTCCGCTGTCGCCATTCCCATCCTTGAATTATCACGGCACGCCGACGGCCCCGACGTGCATGCCGGCGACGGTGCATCTGGCACCGCCGTACCCGAACGCCGCGTACTACGCGAATTCGCGATACGTGTCGTATTCTCCTCCGAACGAGCTGGTGAACATGCTGCATCGACCGCATCTGCGCACCACGGGCACCGCTTATCCGGCGCATCTGCTGCAGCATCACCCGCCGTCCTTCGCACCCTTGCGCTTCGGTCTGGGCGTGCCACCCGTCACCGGCGCCGCCTTCCCCCCCGTCAGTAGTCTACCTCCCACCACGACGTATAACGCGCACATATCGCCGCCGGATGTGAGCCCGGTGAATTCGGACTCGTCCAGCGACGGCTCCAATAATCAGCCGTCGAATATTCTGCATCCGCATCCGCACCACCTCGTCAGCTCTGTCCTGCAGCAGCAGAACAGAGTCAACGAGGGAGAGCAGCAGCAAGTGAACGGTATTGATGTGCGGGATTTACCAAGATAGAGACTAGTGATGACGTAATAATAATATAATGTTATTTTTATCTTACGATTGTTTCGCTACGTTTCTTTCATTTTTTTAAAATGTTTCTTATCGCGGTATTAAATATCTGTTTACAGATAGTCAGCAGGTAAATCCGGCGCTGCGTACGAGCGCGCTTGTAATGCCGATACCGAGCTCCCTCGAAAGTAGAGCGAGCGTGTACAACGTGCCGACCACCTCGGTGTCGACGTCAACGATGCCGGCTTCATCGACGACCAAAATCAGTCAGCCGAGACTGTTTCAACCGTACAAGAATGACATACCAAAAGAGGAAGCATGTGCGAAATAAACCAGTAAATACATTAGCGGCGTGATTATGGTGCGTCATGTTGGCATGTATGTATAATGAACACAAATCATTTACATTTCGGTAATTATACAAAAACCGAAAACGTTATTAGTTCTTGTTACGCTTATTATATTCTGTTTTATGAGAGAATTTAATGGATTTTCACAGTCTTTCATAAAAATCTCGCGAAAAATTTAGTTAAAATGTGATCTCTATTTTTTAAACATTGCCGACTCGTGCAATAAAGTAGTATCGAACGATATCAGTGGAGAATGCATTTTTTGTCAATGTAAATCGACTTGCCGAATTAAAGAAATGCCACACATATTGATGTGTGTACACTACTGGATATCATGTGACTTCTTCCTTTCCTTAATTTATTATAAAGTCTGTAGTACAAAATCATATTCTCTCATAGAACGGCGTGTATTTGGACGAATGCATACGCGAATGAGAAATAACGATTTTGAACTATATGGATTATATACTATATATTTGTATTATATTCTATATAAATTTATTATTTATATAAATATACATTTATTTGTATAAATATACGTTTATTTTATAAACATATATTTAAAAATGCACGTATATTTATATAAATATGTTATCATATAGAGTAGCTGTACAATAAAAATTGAAAAATTAATAAATACCTATAGAATGTTCCATTTAATATAACTATTCGAAATATCCCCGTCGTTTTTGGTAACGTAGAAAACCGTTTCAAGACAAGTGTCTTGCATTTCTTGAAGCGAGAAACATTATGTTATATATATTTATAAATATATAAACAAAATCGTTATTCGTGATTCGCGAATTTGTCTATTACTGTAAACTTGTATTACTTGTATATAAAATTACATAGATTTTTCAATAAATTAAACATCAAAGTGTCACTTTAAATCGAATAAAAAGATATCGTGAAAATATCAGATAATTAACAAAATTTGTATGGTTTTTCGTGAGGTTTATTATTGGCAAAACCGCTCGGATTTTCTTAGTTATCTGATATTTACGTAGCTTTGCGAAAAGTGGACGTAGAGCAATTTGCAAAAATTTTGAAGCTTAAAAACTCCGCTTCAAAACTTCGTCGAGCTTCAGTCGACGATATTTTTACCCTAAAAGGTGCCATTTCAAAGTTGATTTTGTGAAGTTTCTGAAGAAAACACATTTCAACTTTGAGAATATGCATGGAGTTGAAGAAAAGTTTTTTTTCAATTTTGCTTAAAATCTTTTAAGAACTTGAAGCTTTCTCATTAAAGTGCTTTTTGATTAGCTATGCTTTTAAGGTAAAATATGATTTTTTGTCAAGTTGGAAAAAACATACACACTACAAACTGTACATTACACACACATTAGACACAACACAACACAACACAACACAACACAACACAACACAACACAACACAACACAACACAACACAACACAACACAGCACAGCACAGCACAGCACAGCACAGCACAACACAGCACAGCACAGCACAGCACAGCACAGCACAGCACAACACAACACAACACAACACAGCACAACACAACACAACACAACACAACACAACACAACACAACACAACACAACACAGCACAGCACAACACACATAAACACGCACACGCACACACGTACACACGCACCCACGTACACTCATTAATTCAAAAACATGAGGCGTAAGTCCGACCGTGCAACCTCCTCGTGGTACACCTTGGTTAATACTAATGCCGGCGGCACTAAAGACTACTACTGCATTTCGCTACCGATTCAAAGTGACTCTTCAATTTAATTGAGAAATTGATATGTAAATAGTAAAAATTATTATACAAGCAACAAAATAAAAGAGATATGAAAAAAGTAATAAATAAATATTGTTATATAGGATTATAATATTTGTTGTATGAAATCACCCTTTACATCCCCATCTTTTTCGTTGTAATTTATTTGACAAATTTCGGTCAACAGACATTCACTGCACTTCAGTAGCGATACAAATATAATACAAATAGAATACTTCAAAATTTTCAATATATCTTATTCAAATCGTAAAAACTTCAGCTTTTTACTTCCGGATTGTTCGCTGAATATCATTACGAATTCTTCACAAATTTGTATGACAGTTTCTCGTACGAGGAAGATATATTTAGCGTAGCACATTTGTTTTCTTTCAATATTACTTGTATCCATAGCTAAATGCGGCTAACATGCCTCAAGCATACTCGAGCGGACACAAAAATTGCATAAAGAAGACCAGGAAAAGAATCCCTGCAGAGAACCCTACTAAAAGGACAGAAACATTAAATATACAAGAATGAATTGAATGCGGTAGGCACAGTTAGCTTTATAAGTGATAGAGCCGATCGTGTTGGAAATCGTTTCCGCTTATTGCGGCCGCATACTTCTATGGAATACATAAATCCGGTATAAACGGTACCGTTTTTAACGACCTATTAAAGTGCGATCAAATGAAGCCGCACAATAATGTTTTCGCCATTCGCCTTCCGATATGCACGGATATCCCCCGATACAACCTTTATTCATTTAGATGCACATCTAAACATATTCAAAGATAGTAAAATCTAAAAATATCTGCCATTTCAATTAACAAAAATTTTTAAAAATTATGTAATCGTATTTTAATTCTTATTGTCTTAAAAAATGTTCTAAATCTTGTCGGAAAAGTCACTAATCTGCCGAAATGTGCAAAATTCTGAATTTTATTTGCTACACTTTTTGACAATAATATTATCTGGCATCATATTCAAATGTACCAAAGTATCACAAATTAAGTAATAATTTTATTAAATATTAATGTAAATGTTGCTTTTATAACGTATAATTACAAGATCGTGAAGTCTCACGTTTCTTCGGTGATGTGATAAAAAAAAGCGTTCAAAAATTATTGCACTAGTCTATCTCCATAACAATAAAACGCGAAGTTCTGAGGTGGAGGCATAAAAAATAAATAAAAAAATTGCTGAAAACGGGTAGTGTCGTGATAAAAGAGAATTGGAGTTTTTCCAAGAAAAATAAAAAAATATATATATATACATATATAAGCGTTATATTGCATCAGATCATAAAACCCTAAAAGTCAGGCAAATATAGTCAGAAACCGTCAGGTAGTTATTAGCAAACTTCTGTTATTTGGTTTTTTGAGAGTTCCGTTTGACAGTGATTATCTAACGTTTTCGCTCGGCATTTATTGCTGCAGAACAATAAGAAAAAGAAGCAACCCTTTGTAGCATTCCTTTTTGGCGAAAAAAAAAAATTTTTATGCACAGATGACAGTTTAATATTTTACACTAGTTTGTATCTGCTAGAAAACCGAAATCTCTTACAATAAAATGCTGAAAGAAACACAGCACACAAAACGAATTATTGAAAACAAAACTCTGCAAAAATCATAAAAAATATTTAAGAATTGAACCCATTATTTGAACAATCGGAATCGTAGATTGAATTTTTCATGTCGTATCAAATTTCCAATTAAAAAGTGGCACCGAATCGCATCTACGAAAAAAATGTCATTCCATCTTAAACTCGATCCCCCGAGGACAATCTGTTACTCAACCGTGCTGCAGCATCACAATCTGTCGCGCGCAACTATGTTATCTTATCTGCGGAACCATTAAGTCTCGTTCGTGCGCGACGGGGCGCATCCCTAACAATCTGTTTTGCAATATTGCCTTCAACTTACCGCTAATAAACGTGCACTGCGGCTTGTACCGCGATAACGATGAAATTTAATTGTCTTTGCGACACGAAAGAATAATGAAAATCCCAGTAATTACTAACTATTGCAATTCGTCTAAACTAATGCAAAAGAAGCATTATCAAATTAATGAAAGTTATTGCAGATCTAATATTGAAACGTCACGATTCTATTCCGGATAACAAATACAATATGATGCGTACATGCGAGTCAAATACGCGATTTACCGCTTCTATGGTAAAAAAATTGAGCATGTCGAGCTGATTTGCTCGTGACAAGTGCAAAAATCGACGAAACTTTCTTTTTCGTGAAAGAGATGCATCTGATGAAATAATAGGGGACGAAATATTTTATGTGAGAGCGAATCTGTGGATAATTGAAGAGTCAAAACTGTCTAGAGTCACCATCTGAAACAAACCGTGAAAGCATGAAGGCGTAACATCCGCACAACGAGCGAGGCGTCCCACAATGGTTCCCTTCGTCAAATGTCCAATTCAGCCCTGACATATTCTGCGAGTACTCTTTTGCTGCCCGGAGCGGAAATGGTCACAAAACATAGTGTCCGGATAGGCTCGTTATAAAATTTGCTTGGGAATTAGTAAGTTTCACGGTGCGTTGCAGTGAAGATCGCTATCGAGAGATTCGGCACTAAAACTGCAAGATATATGACGGTTGAACTTTCAACAGTTCAGCATATTTACACACCCTTTCTAAGCAATAAACTAAACAGTAGCTTTTTTTTAAACTGCTTAACTCTTTTTTTCCCTCTGTTTTTGCGTTATAGCAGTTATATCAGATTATAATACCACAAGAGAAAGTTTATACGGCGCGATTATTTGTTACAATTTTTTGTAAAGGCTGCCAGACTCCTTTTTTTCGGACCTCGTTATACCGTTGTCGGTAGTAAAGAGGCTATGAATGAAAGAAAAGGCGTTCAAATTTTCACTCAGCAGGTCTCTTCAGAAAGGTCCACTATTTTTAAATTCGATTCTACAAATTTTCGGACGTTCGCACAATCCTGATTTTCCCGTCCGGGCTGCAGCGACTACGAAAACGATTATGAACGGAGCGGACTGGTTTTCCCATCGACATTGACTCCGAATTAATTCCCACAATTGTCCGGCGCGTCCGCGATAATCGCCCGGCCAGATCACAATGTCGATCGATGTGTGTTCGCCGCTCTCGATATATACGCGAGTCTACGGGATGCGAATCGGAGCCGACGGCCAGCGATTGGCCACGGTTGCCGCTCCGCCACCCCGTTACAGCCCCCGTTGCGTTATTTATTAGCCCTCGCTTTATTACGCGCCCTACCCAGTCGACGGTCGGATTCGCCACGATTGCTGTTTATGAGGAAAATATTGCCCCACGTCGAAGATCGAACGGTCGATTAAAGTCGAAAGCTTCGATCTGCGTGAAAATTGATTTCGCAGGTCCCGCGCTGCCGCGGACGCGAATACAACTATCATGGTGGTTGATCTTTTATCCGTGTCTCTTCGTGGGAGGCTCCGAACTTGAAATAAGCGTGGAACGAGATGGGAATCCAGATTAGTAGTAATTGGCCGTGTCTATAGATCGGAACCATGTCAGCGGTGTTCGAATTATCTTTAACGCTGCAGCGTAAAAAGCAGGTTCTTGAAAATATATGTAATTTCCCATCATGTATCCAATGTTCTAAGGACGGTCTACCACAATGTTTATAGGATAACGTGTTCACAATATCCGTAATGTTTTTGTCCTTGCACCTTCATAGAAACGAATGAATGGATGGACATCCGTTTTCAGCGAAATGACGGAAAATCATGTACTATTT